CCTCTCTTGACTTTACTCATCATAAGAAAGCGGAGGTGTTTGATGTGCTGTCACTGTGTGGTTACAACCTGTGCATGTGGATGAATCCAAGATGTAGACGATCAGAGGTATTTCCGGGTTATTTTGTGAACAGGATGACGAAATATCCATGCGCCAAAACTGTCAATGTACCAGAAATCTCTCATGATGAGTATTACACATTAAAATCTGTTTCAATGCTTGTGACATACAGATTTGTCTTAGGAAAATGTGAACAATATCCTAGGACAATGGAGTCATGGGTACTGGGACCACCATGGTGGGCATAACAAGGTCTGGAGCTATGGGGAGGTGTGTTAGGACCATGGTTGATCTTAATAGTATAACTTTAGTGTCAGACTGACCAATTTCATTGACTATTCTTCAAAGTCTCACCATCTGACAATCTATAGTTATGTTTTCATAATTTTTCTGGCTCCAATTCATGGCTCCTCACTACTCCCAGAGAATTCTTTCTGGATCACAGTTCTAATCAAGCTGCTGCTCTGCTCAATGGTCTTTGCTGGTCTGCATGGTTTACCTGATGAAGTCCAGTGTCTGTAACTAAAGGGATGGATCTTTAGACCTGTGAACAGAGTCCCGGAGCCAGGTTAATGAGGGCCCACTCTAGAGAACAATGGTAAGATAGGCTGGAACCCTCAGCGAAAGCCCATTGTTCATGCTAACCATTCTTCCAATGACCTGACCAAATATGAATTAAAGACACACATGGCTTCCTCTTCTTGTTTGAAAATTAAATATGCTCACAAGCAAGGAATCACCCATGGCTTCGTATTTCTGCTCAGTGGTCTTTCTGGTTCCTCTGCAAACCAACTTGGTGGTTTTTATTTCTAAAAACAGAAGTCAGTTAACCCCTGATGTGAATACTGGAGTCTTCCTGAAGAGCTGCAGTAGAGGACTTGGTCTCAGCATTTTTAATAGACTCCTTTCTGTAGCGTCCAAGCTCCTATGCCAGGAAAGAAGGCTGGGAGTTTGAAGAGATTGTAATGAATTGTAGGGAGATAAACACACTTTATCCATTCTGAGCAAAGGCCACCACATAAACCACCAGGTAAGCAGACATTGACAGATACCCAGGCACATGCTGGTACACATGGATGGCACACAGGTAGGCATGAGCACGTGCCCGCATGCACACACATATGCACACATGCATGCGCGCGCGCACACGCACGCACACACACACACACACACACACACACACACCATTGCAGACAGGCACACAGACATGCATAGACAAGCTGGGGAAGGCAAAGGTAAAGGCTTCAGCTAAATCCAGGACTTCTGAACTCCAGGCCACGTTTATAGAAAACCACACAAATGTGATTCCCTTTGCTGCTGTTTGATCTGCAAGTTGCCGGGAAAGAGAGGGTGGTGGTGTGGGCTTTTGAAATGTCAAGTCCACCTCTAGTGGCATATCTCCTTCAGAAAGGCCATGCCACCCAGTCTTTCCCAAATAGTTCTGCTCTCTGGGAACTAAGCATTCAAATATGAGCCTAGGGCACTATTCTCATTCAAACACCACAGTGGTAGTCTGCCAGAATCAGTTGTATAACCGACTACATCACTATTTACTTTTGGGTTCCCGGATATCTAATGCCAGCCATTTTGTGCTGGCTCATAGGTCTCTATATGTCCAGTGTTAGCCGTCTTGGTCCACACTAGATATCCATATCAGCACCAAGTTGTCTAAATATAAACTGGCCCTTAGAGACTTCTATTCCCAACATTTTCTTTTTTTTTTTCATCTAATTTTTCATCGCTGTTGCCCCCAGTGCCTCTGATTTAACAGCTTCTTACTTTTCCTTAAACGAATGCCTGCATTACCCAAAGGAGTCAGAATGGCATACGGTATGTGTGTGTGTGTGTGTGTGTGTGTGTGTGTGTGTGTGTGTGTGTGTGTTGCTTAAATACTTATTTAATCTTATATCAAGGTTGAGAAGTTGAAGAGATTAAATTAGAACTTTTTCCTTTGACAGTTCAAGAGAAAACTCTCTTTAGCCTGGGATTTGACTACAAGGCAAGCCAACTTATTTTGGCAGATAAAAACTAGATTTCTTATTTGTCTGTGTCTTGAAATCTCTTGAGTCTGGCATCAGCAAACTAGAGAACTCTGCATCTCTCCTGGGGATTTACATGACTGTGTGAGAAGGCTATGGTGATGTGGCCTTCCTTAATGTCAAACTTTGCTCCAGACATAGCTGTTAGTATATTCCTGTTCCCACCTAAGTACTCAAAGAAAGAAACACTGCACTCAGCCCTTTGCCAGCACAAAAAATGCAAAGTAATAAAGCTCATATTATTCCAAAACACTGATCTCTGAGGTCTCAGCCTATCTGAAGGACACATCATAAAAGCTTTGGTCTTGAGATATACTCTTAGCTAATGTCACAAGGGAAACTTTAGTAAACTCTTCATCTTGGCTGGGGAGATAACTCAATGATATAATGTTTGCCTGCCATGCCTAAGGTTAATTCAATCTACCCCTGCCATCACCTCCCCTCATCCATGGGGGCACACACACACACACACACACACACACACACACACACACACACAGAGGCATGAATGCACCCATGCACATGAACACATACACACTTTATTTACCACAACTTGCTTATAAGAGACTTTATTTCAAATATTGAATGCAAAGGAGAACTTGAATCCAATATCATGATGAACATTTCATGAAAACACAAAGAACTACAACTATTCATCTTTCTCTTTAATATAGAAGAGGGCCAGCAAGATGACAAAATCTTCTAATACTTTCTGGGAATGAGAACTTTGAAAGATTTTCAATTCTGGAGAAATTAGCTTCGATTCCTAGTTATGAGTATGACAAAATATTTGGCTTCTAACATTACTGACCTGTGTCCCAAATGAGTTTTTCAAATATAAAACTATTTTGCTTCCATCACCCATGTTTGTCACTAGAGATGTGACCTGAGCAATGGTTGCCAAAAACCTTGTACTCAGCAGCACATTTCTTATTAAGTTTGCAGTGTGAAAAGCAAAAATAGAAGTTAGTGATTTCCTACAGCCCCCAAACTGCTTTGTTCTCCAACAGAAATGTTGCAGTACATTTCTCCCAAATGTGGACCAGGACCCTTGGGTATTTTACAAGTGAACAATGGCTGAGTCATTAATTTAAGATACATAGCTCACTGAGCTCTCATTTACTTGAGCAAAATTTTCAGAGTTTTTTTTTTATCATGCTTGCACATGATCCACATATCTAAAGATTCTGTAAATCCATAAATACCCTCTGACATGAAGGCCCATTATGGCTCTTAAAGACTCATTGATGTCTGTTGGATCAAATGTGGACTTCATGTGGAAGCCCGGGAAGATTTATATGTTAACCATTCCATGCCAAATCTCTATTTAAAACTCACTGTCTTGGGAATGGACTTCAAACTATTTTTGCCTGCTGGTATGAAGCATTAAGTTCCCCTGCCAAGAAAGCCTTAGGAACATTTCAGTTCCCTAAGCGTACATCTGTACACACCTGCAATGAAATCTCTTTCCCTTGCCTCCACCCAGGGGAAAGGAACTCAGCTGGACAGGTAAGTCTCTCATTGTCTCCAAACTACTGTTTAACTCAGACTTGACCCAAGTCACATAAATCACTTAATCCTTTGGAGAGATGAGTGTCAGAATGAAGAGCCCAAATTCTTAGCAAAGGTCATGCATTAAGTTTTTTACTCATAACTGGAAGGAGAAACAGGAGAGTTCACCCTCATTAAAACAAAACAGAGGGCAGTTTCAGAAGCCAGGAGTGCTGAGCACAGTCATCTGGGAGAGAAAGATCAAAGACCACGAGGCCCCTGAAAAGAAACTTTGGGTCTAGCCCCTCCACATTCCCCAAGCCAACAGGTCCTTTGGCCTCCTTCCCCCAGTATCTCTCAAAGCTAACTGCTCTCTTTTCATTCATTCTGCTATAGTCTCAACAAGAGGTTTAGCCATGGCCATCACCATCTTGCCTCAGAACTGCTTGTCTTTCTGTACACACTTCTGAGATCAATGTCTTCATCGAGTAGAATTCTGTGACAGGAATGTGTTCTTGCACCACTCTGTCCTCCTGCCACTGGGCTGCCTGATGTCCACTAAACATGTGCTAGCTGTCATCCCCCAGTGCCCAGAGCATCAACCCAGATCCCTGCCCTCGCTGTTGGAATCCTAAAGCCCCCTCAGTCCACCCAGTGAGAATTCACAGTTTCTGCCTCATATGTCATGTCCTCAAAGCTCTGACTTTATAGGACTCATAATATTGATCTTCTGCCTTGAGTTATATTTATTTATCTGTGTACAAATGCCTTTCTTTCCAGACTGTAAGGTCTGAGAGCAAGAATGACATTTTCTCTCACCAACATTGAGCCCTCTGTGTTGCTGAGGCACATTGAATATACATTTAAAAATGTACACAGGAAAGAGGACTTACCACTAGTATTTTAAAGGAGATAATGAAGTGAAAGTTCTAGAAGGCAGTAGGGCAAGAAAGAAATGGAGGTGTTTCACAAAACGATACTATGTACCTGAAATTTTCCTTTAATGGGGGTTGTTCTTATATATGATCAACTTCTTTTGTTTTCATTTCTCTTTTTTATCTGTAGCCTGGCATTTTTAAAAATAATTTTCTTACCCTGAGAAGTTAGCTACAGCTAGATCTTTCCTGATCAATCTGCCTTTCAAATCCAGATTTATTTAGCTAATGGGATTGGCATGGAACTATTTCTACATTCTAGTTTTGTTTTTATTTCACACAACATGGCTGCTGGTGAGTTTTGACATATAGAATGTATTTTCAATTTGTTTTCTCTTTAGAACAATTTGGAATTATCTCCAGGTCAACTAGTGGCTCATATTTTACCATAATTCATATTTTCCCTGAAAACTAAAATGTGTTTTACTCCTCCACCTCAAAAAAGGAAAACAAGTCAACATCCTCTGTCACTTACATCCTTCCAGCCTGTCTACAGAAGCTCCTTTTGTTCTTCAACACCAACAGTTTCCTTTGAGAACAAAAGCTCTCCAGTTGCGCCAGCACTCATCCCCATGTTGAGACTCGATCCTCCGGTCTTGAAGGGCCTCTGAATGTTCTGATGATCTTTCAAGAGCCCTGTGATCACAGCTTGCGATGTCTTGACCTCAAGTTCCATCCTAGTAGGTCACACTTTCCTGAGAAGCCTATTTCCTGCCTTACCATGTCTTTATGGTCAATCTGATAGGCTCAGTCTACTCAGCACAACCAGCTACAACCTGGTAAGTTGCCGCTCAACTCTCATCACTTCCGGTCACCAAAGCAGCTTCTAGAATGGCTTCTTGTCTCTTTGCGCCCTCACACTCATCACTTGTTTGTGCTCATCTCAAAGAGGTTTTACCTTATGGACTTTGCCCGTTAGCACAAAGGTTAGCACAATGGCACGAGGTGGAGAATGAACGTAATCTACTTCCGGTTCCTCCTCCTGCGAGCCCTCCACTCCCATGATGCCTTTCAGGAGGCTTTTTCCTCCTCCCTGCCATCTCATGCTTTTCTACAACGCCCCAGAGAGGGCCGAATTTCCCTCCTGTTCCCTGCACACTTGTAGTTCATTTACCCTAGTCTGGACGGTTTTTATTTGTACCGGCAGCTAAACATCCTTGTGTTTTAATGGTGAGCCTGGCAATGTGTTTTTATGTGGCTGCTCTCATTTGCTGCTCACTCTGGCTACAGGAGGAAAATTAGTCATGTTTTGCAGGAGAGCACAGAGATGTGAGATTCAAAGAGATGAAAGATGGAATAACTTCCACAGTTTTCACAGCAGTGGGGGTTAGACCCATTCACCCTCAATCTGCTGGCCATGCTGCCATGTTTTGGTCTCTGTGGGCGGGTGGTGGGAGACTGCTCACAGATTATCCCTGTTACAGCAGGACTGTTCAGAGATGCTGACATCTTGTATCCAGCCCAATTAAGTACCAGACAGCTTCCCTGGCAGAGTGCCTAGTGACGGCTGCCATGGAAACGACCTTTCTCCGCACCTGCTTAGGCTACTTCCCTGTAAAGACAGACACCCTGGAACCTTGGCTAATTCTGGTCTTATAGCTCTTTCCAGAAAATTCCACCCTTAGGGCAGGCAACAAACTAACTGAGGTAGGCTAGGCCAGCAAGCAACCACCTGTGGCCCAACCTGCCCTTGGGGAGATGAACCTTGCACATTTCAGAGGACTGTCCTGGGCAGAGCGCCCATTGTTATCCTTCTGCTTTGCCAGAAACTCCTACCTTTACTTACAAGAACTGATGAAAGATGATAAAAATTGCATCTAGACCCCAAAGAGGATAATGCTACCCTGCTGATTCCTCTTGCCCTTCTCTTAAGTCTTTGTTTTGCAGCTGAATCAATAGCCTTATAAATATTCTACACCTCATCACAGAACTGTATCCCCAGTCCTTTCTGTCGTTTTTATTTTGAGACAGAAACTCACTAAGTTTCCCAGGCTAACCTTGAATTTATGATTCTCTTCCCTTGTGAGTAGTTCGGATACAGGTACAGCAGACCCAATGAGATGTTTATGCAGAATGTAGTACTTTATTTACTTAAATGAAGTCTTTGAAATCAATTAACACAGCAATATTTTGGCTGAGCAAGCCTTGGTGTAGGTTCTGGGTGGGAAATAAGAAGGCAGATCTTAGCTGCTAAGCTCCAAAATTTAGGATGGTTGTCCTTAGGAAGTTCCAGGTTGTTACCTAAAGTGTTTCCACATACCAGGTTTTTCAAAAGTCCAAGGGTCTGATTTTTATCAGGTTATTATTATCCTAAGTGTTTAAATCAAGTAGTCTGTTGATATTCTCAGGAATTCATATTTATAAAGAGCCCATGGAGCTAAAGATTTTTTTAACCTGCTGGTACTAACACTATCATTGGCAACTCTACATCCACAGCGCTCATCCAGGTGGCTGTTACCTGTAGATTCTTCCCCTGCTTTTGTATTTTACACCTTTGCTTGTTCACTGCATGCCACTTGAAATACTGCTACCTAGACATCCATGCTACCATGTGCCTCCCGTGCATAGGAACCTGTGGGAATGGATGGAGAAGGTGAAGGGGGGCCGAGGGGTAATCAGGCAAGCACACACTTGGGCCTTTGTGGGCAGCTTGAGTCAATATGTTGCTTTGGGAGAAGGGGACAGAGTAGCTAAAAGGAGGTGGCAGGTCTCAGGAAGGGAGGGGAGAGCAGTTGGGAGTCTGCACCGTCCTACAGTCAATCCCCATTCACCTCCCAACAGCACTGACTACCTCTGTTTGAACTGTATCGTTCTCTGACGTCAGTTCCATGTCTCTCCTCTGTTGCTGCTATGGTTGTACAACACAGGCCAGGTCAACTCACCTAGGCACACTGGTCTGCAGAAGGCGTGGCAGGCTAGCTGATCTCAGGCATCAGCCTTGTTCACTCCACATATCTGTAAACATTCTCAAGGGTCGTCGCGGGCACTCGTTAGAGAATACTGGACAGAGAGATGTATGGATGAGGGAAGGCACAGTGAAAAGTGAATGCTGTCTAGAAGCAAAGAAAGGCAAGGGCGTGCGTGGGAAGGACTGGTTGCTGAAAGGCATCCTGGCGGTGAGGGAGCTTGCTAGTCTTGGCTCGGCTGGGTTCAGGAAAGCCGTGCTGCAACATGGTGGCGGCCCCGGAGGGAGGCTGCTGAGGTATGTGAGCCTGTAAACAAGGCTGCACTGCTCCATGGCTTAAGATAAATATTCATACTTAATACTGGTTCTAGGGTATGAATTTTTAGACCATAATTCTTTAAAATTTATTATAGTTTTAAACTTAATTGGGTGAAAGTATTTGTTGGAGGGGGAGGGGATGCAATTACCCAATTATCAAAGCAAGGATGAATCCTAGAAGGGACACTAAAGTGATCTTTAAGTACTGAGAGGATTTTATTACAGCAACTTTTAAAACGGTAATGAATGTCGCGTTTCTTGGTCTTTTCCACAATAGAAACACAACACGGTGTTTTCAAACTGCACAGGTTTGCTTCTGCTGAGGAAAAGACAAGAAAGGGTCCTGGGATTCCCCCAAAGGTCCTCAAAAACAACCACTACCACCACCAGAGGAAAAATAATCATCTTTCCTAGAGTGTTCAGAAAAGGGGTGGGATACGTAGAGAAGGAAAATTGAGAGCCACAGAGATGTGGCAAGGAGCATTAAAAATATGTTGGCATTTCTGCATATGGGGAGAGCTCACAAATTTGAGCCTATTGTTCAAATCACATCAGCAATGATATCAATAAAGTCAAGATGTGGTCTCCTGAGACCACGGTGGCTATCGGTCCAGAGGTTCTTCTTGGAGTTCTAGCAATCCGTGCCCCCCAAAATGGAGCAGAGTAGAAAACTATGTTAAGGAGGCTTTTAAAACACATCATTGAGATTACAGCACCTTTTAAAATAAACAGCACTGAATACCAACACAGGTAAAATGTCATTGTGAGACAGGGATCTGATAGCCAACAGCGTTCTTTACGGCTTTCCAGTGTGTGATAAAATCTGTTCACCAGATGTACTGTATGTCTCCTGTGTAGCATACTTGAGCATTCTGTAGGCCCGAGGCCCATTTATTTCATGTAATTGCCTTTCCTGTGCACACCTTGGGGTACCCTAATTCTATATTTTATTTCAGGCACTGTACAGGGTACCATCTGGTAGTTTTAAACTCATCCCATTTTATTGCGCTACTGCAGAGGATGTATTCAGCCGTACTGCAGCTTTCGGTGGAGACAGACTTCTTACTACTAGCTATTTATTTTTGCCTGAAATAAAGTAGCCTTGAACTATCAACATGCAGGATTCACACATACATCACAGCCAGTCCATACTCGCTGGACAGGTTCCTAAGCAACCTGCAGGCACGAAGCAGCTTCGAATTGCTTCTCGCACAGATGTTAACTTATAGAATTGGGATTCTAAATTCTTTGCCTACTTCTGCTCATAATGATATCTTTTTAGTATCTCATTTGTATTATTTCGGTTCAGATGAGCACACAAATAAATGTATTCCATCACATCTGGAAAAGCACCACAGAGAAATCGCTTAATATCTGAAGATGCACACCTCATTATGAGGTTCGTCACTCAGTTCAATCTCAACCTTAAGTCTGGCCCTCTGCCACCCCGCTCTGGTTTTGCTGCTGTTTTTGCTAAATTGTTAAATCACCTTTCAAGGGAGTTTGAAAGATCCTGAAAAGGCAAGTTTGGATATAATGTACTTGTCAAAGATAAATACATTTCAGAACCGCGAAGCTTTTCTGCAGCAGGACCCTGATGAGAATGCCTGCCCTCAACTTGTGCTCAAATTAGATAGGAAGTAACCCTGAGAATTCATCTCCGGTTTCAGATAGGCACCTCAGCCACTGTGCCCACACAGCTGGCCACACAAATATCAGAGTCCCCCCTATGCAAATCACACACACCCAGCTGCAGTCTTGCAAACGAGCCATTGTTCACCTGCTGGCTCCTTCCTCACCAAATCCCTGCTGTTGCTTGTATTATTACATCCCCTCATCTTCTGTCCTTCTCTCCCTGTCCAACAATAGCTATGGTTTGCACCAGTCTCTGGTATAGCGATGAAAAGACTACAAGCAGAGGGGGCCAAGCAGAGCAGTGGCATTTAGTGAGTGATGAGTTGGTGTGCTTGCCACTGCTGCCTCTTGACATGTGTTATCTCAGCATTGCCCAGGGAGAAGATTACCAGGCATTGGCGGGAGCTACAGAAAGCCTTCCAGTGTACAATCTGCTACCTGGCACTGATGGCCGGCATAAATAAACAAACCAATCAGGAGATGTTGGCGCTGCTGCAGGCATCTTGGCCCTTCGTTATGGTAACGGGGATGTGTAGCAATGGCTCAGTTACAGTTGAGGATGGAAAAATATTTAAGGTACAAAAAGCCAGAATAGGAACCCATTTGCAGCAGTTTCTTTGCATGTTATGCATTCGTGGCAATGACAAAGACAGCTAAATGCACCTGGCTGTAGCTGTCGGCTGTGATCTAAAGCCTGTTTGGATGGAAAGAATAACTTCCTCCATTATTTATTGTTGGAAGCAGAGTTTACTTTGCTGTCTTTAACCTCAGCAGAAATCAGAGATGCCAGTTTAACAGCGAGCTGATGAGTTCTGGGGAGCAGAGCAAAGAGTCACTGGTTTGGCATCTTGTAAATCAGCAGGAGACCGGTGACCAAATAGATTCATATTTATTTTCCTGGAGTTTTCCCCCCTTCTTTGACTCTCAGGCAATCTCGTCCTATAAAAATGTTAATGCTGGTCTGAATATGAAGGGTAATTTTTTTCTCCCACAGCTCTGTCAAACATATCTTCCCAATAATTAAATGTGTATCCTTGGGCTCTAAGAGCAGTCTTGTTGAACAAAGCAACCACAAATCCAACTAACCTTTGAAGA